GGGAAGGAGAGACAAGGTGAGCAGAGGGTTGGCACAGGCTGGGCTGACAGCAGACAGCAATCATGTGGGGGCTGGCAGCACAGCTGGGGATGCATTGGTAATGGAACTGCTCAAATGATACACGTGGAATCAAGATGTGGGTCAAAGAGGGGAAGAGGCATCATATCCTATCAGCCAGGGAAGGGCATTCGGTACTGCCTGCAGCACGGGGAGCAGCCCTGAGCCACCCGTGTGCCATGGGTGCAGACCCCAAACAAAGGCTGCTGCAATGCTTCTTTTTGCCACACTGCCTGCTTCCTCGCTACCAGGTGCAGCGTTTAAGGATAAATGCATACCCCAGAAAAAAGGTTAATTCATCTCCTGCTCCAAACTCCCTGAACTTTCAGATCTTTCCTTGCACTTTCAGATCACTGACCTCATACTAAAAACAACGTGGGGCCCAGTACGACAGAGAAACCAGCAGCATTCATTTAAATCTTTACTGATTACAAAACAAAGCAGATGGCAAATCAAGTCATGAACTCTGCATCTGCCATGCTTAATGAACAGTTTAATTACCTTAGTCCCATTTCTGATGCATCTCTGCCATTCTCAGCTCTGGGAGTTAGATCACATTGACTCCTGCAAAGATATCTCCAGGAACATGTGGTGTGGAACAGTCAGCTGGAGTTGGTTAATCAATACATATTTAATCTCCAGCTTTTATGGTGATGGCCTGAAGTATGGCTCAACTGAAACAGATTTCCTATCAGATCACATGAATGGGTTGAACACTCAGAAAACAAAATGGGATTTCTCAGCCTCTTCTGTGGGCAGTGGAGCACTTGCGGGCAGACAAAAACAGCAAAACAACAGCAGACACAGTCAGATTCATTCATGTGCTGCATTGTGCCACATGAGAGTGCTGGAAGCAATTAGGACAGCGTACATTCACAAAGCCTACAACCTGAAAAGCAAACTGGACTCATTTGGGATAAGTTGCAAGGAGTCACTGAAACTATGCTCCATGTTTTGAGTTCCAGTGCGTGCAGACAGGCAAGAGCTTCCCATGAAGGACCAGGCAAGCAAGCACGGGATTTGGTCCCAGGTCAAACACACTGCACGTGCCTGGGGTTCTTCTTGCTCTGTAGCCTAACGTGGTTATGTCCAACCGACTTTGTGCACAGAAGATAAAGCTAAGAAAGAATAAGAATAAACAACTGACTGCGCACACACAAGAGAGGAGTGACACGGCTGAACCTTCACAGCAGTTAAGTAACAAACTCAGATTGGGATTGATCTGTGACCTGGTGGGATGCACATGAGGCAACGGCCCTCCAGAGAGCCACGCAAACCAACTTTCTACCCTTCACATCACAAGGTTTGGGAATCCCTTTGCATGCCTTCACCGCTTTTCTCCAACTTCCCTTTTGCTGCACAAGGTCCACTTGTGCCCCTGAAAGGTGCCCCTGAAAGCTGCCCTCTGGGAACAAACACACCAGAGCTTTGTGCTCATTAAATACAGGCTCAATGAGCTGCTTGACCTCAGATAAGGATTTTCTGAAGGGGTATTTCATCTCAGGATTGCTCCATGTCATAGGAAGCTACCCAAGAGATTCAAATTTTAGTCATTTAATAGCAACGTTGATTACTTTAATAGCTTACACCAGAAAGACCACAAGTCGAACAGAAAGCTCCCGGACAAGAGAAATACTCACAAGTTAAAATCAAATACAGAACTGTGGGTAAACACAATACACAAAGCCAATATAGCAGCAGATCAAACAGGAAAGAAGGACAGGGATAGACCTGGTCCTTCCCCAGTGCTTCACATATCCCCCACGACTGCCGTGTTGGACCGACGTTGTGTAATAAAGCCAAGAGAAAAGATTTCTCTAAAACTGAGCAAACCCAAAGCAAAAAGACAGCACAGCAGACAGCAAATCCAGACAGGTGGACGTCTAACAGCATGAGTGAATACATCCCGAACATTAATTTCTTTTTCATTACCCTAAGTGAGCAGACTGACACTCCAGGAAATGCCTTCAAGCTGTCAGCATCTGAAAATCTCTGAGGTGTCCAAGCCTAGGCTCTCATCTCACTGAAAACACATCTATCAGAAAGCTTCAAGTACTGCCCCGATCTACAAGATACACATGAGAAAGTGATCAGCAAACACGCTCTAAACAGCAGTTTGTCAATAGTAATAAGCAGGATGCACGTCCTGCCCCACTCTGCTGTCAGAGGTAGAATTAATCAGGCTAGATCACTGAGCAAGTATGTCAAAGGCTGGAGAACACTGATCTTCGAGGCAGTCAGGGAAGAAAGAGTTGTAAAGCCTCATAGAAGTACCCTAGATTGACAGCTGTGCCTATTCCAAACAGTAAACCAAGTGGAAATGCCTGAGTAAGGTCAAGAAAGCCCAAAAGAAGCAAATGAGGCAAGGAAGCAAGCAATGGAGGGAGAAGTTAAATGCACCAAAATGAAAATATAAGAGCAACCAAGTAAAAGAGTCTGTGGCAAGTAGAAAATGAGCCAGACTGAACAAGAGCAACCCACGAAAATCAGAAAATACTGCTTGAATCTGGAGACAAAATTCAGTAGCCATAAAATCTGAGAAGGAATCAGATCAGAAAGGAAATGTCATCTGAATGTTTATAACTAAAATATTAGGTACTGCCATTACCAAATGAAGAACAGCTTATCGTTTTCTACTGATGTTTTAAAATGCATTCAAGACCTGAGACTTCCAGGTTACAATTTGATCCCAGAGAACAGATAGCTGTTGCTGGATTAAACTTGCACTGTTAAATGTGTCTGAAGTCTTTCAGTCCTTATTTGCTCAGAATACAGGAGCACACTCACTGCCCTACCAGAGGGTCAAACATGCACAAATGCAAAAACCATAGTATCAGAAGCAATACTGATTCAATCATATATATAAAAGTCTCTCCCAAATTAGATTTTCACAGTCCTATTTAACAAGACAAAGACTCAATAGAGAGAGCTCATCTTTTCCTTTCTCCATTTACATAGACAGAAGCACACTGTACTACTGATGCCACTAATTAGATGATTAAATACCATTCTAGGTGATACGCTTTCAATGTAAAATAATTATTTTTAACAGGCAGTACATTTGCTCAATCTCATTTTAAATCACAATATCGTACTTTTTTTAATTAAATGAAATTCCTTCTGATTTTGCATGAGAGAGCAACCAGTGGGAGCAGCAGTGCCAAGAGAAGATTGCCAAAGTACCAGAATGCACGTACTCCTCCACAAAGGATCCTAGCATTCCCTGGATGGAATATAAATTTTCAGAGAATAGCAAAGTCTTTATTCCTTTAAAGCAGGGCAGTGGAGGAATCACTCAGCACACTGAAAACTTTCACTGACAAAATATGAGTTTATCTGCTCTGGTTTGATCAAGGACACTTCCAACTTTTCCTCTATTTCTCCCCACGAGTGGGGGTGAAGGGGACAGCAAACAAATTAAGGATCTATAGTACTGTAGTAGAGTCCAATCCATTACACGACAAAGTATTGTCTTTTTGTCCAGTAATTACAGAAGTAATGATAGCAAAGTTATTTTGTATTCACTGAGAAAAGAGATTTCTGATGATTACTGGAAATAAGTTAGCAAAGGGAATAGTTCAGAAGCCCATCTGAGAAACTCCCTTTAGATCCGAGCAGCCCAGAGCCACACTGCACGGCTGAAAAGGCTGTAAAGGCTTTCTATCAGGTTCAGCATTCACCTGTGTCACAACCAGCCACACCATTATCAAACCAGAACAACGGAGGCTCGGCTGCTGCTGAGATGAAATGCCTTTTCTATTTCCACTGGGAAGGTTTTGCCCGACCATCCTGACTTCAGTGCCTGCCTTGGTGCAAAGGCAAAAACTGCTGTCCTCTTCTCGCTTACAAGACTCTTCATGGCACCAAATTCTGCAGTCAGAAGCGGTGGAAAAATATCCTCCAGTTCCTTCCTGCTCCTAGAGGCCTTGCTTACCATCTACCACGGACTCCTTGGCTCAACACTAACACAGAATTAAACAGAACGGAGTGCACAGCAAATAAAACCAAACAAAATACTTTACTTGACTAAAGATTAAAGCCTCCAGCACTACCAACAGACGAGCCCCTTTTCTGCTTGCTCAGACACTCCCACAGCCAGCACCTTCCTCCCCATGCATGACAACGTGTCTGGCTTCTTCTCTCACCCCAACTTCTCCATTCTGACCTTATGCACACACACAGGCTTATCTACGTGAGCAGTTTGATGATATCAGGCAGATTGCTTTAGATGAGTGAAGTTTTGTAAGGAATATTATTGAAACTGAAGTCTATATCATTCTTACTAGAAAGAATTATTATTCCCATTGGGGAAAGAGCTCCCTCGGAATTTAATATAACATTTTTCAATGCTCTGCAGACTTGAAAATTATTGTATAGAATTTCATCAGGGAAGCACACTCGATATAGGATAATGCAGACTTTTTGAAATACCCTATAGAAGGAATCTTAAAATGTATTTTCAATTTACTGGTCTAGTGCCTGCCATTATATCTGAACAGACTTTCAGCGTTAGAGGAGGGCGATTCTCTTACTCTGTAAATTGTTTTTCCACGGAAACAGCTGACAAGGTGCAGTCATTTCGTTCTCTTCAGGAAAGGAGGTGAGGCAGCGAAAGCCTTTATAAATTCCCCTCAGTGGCTCAAAACACTCTGGAGACAACATGATTCAATTCCCTGCCCTCGCACAAATGTCATGCCTGAGACTGAGCCACAGATTGCCAACAGAGCAGGAGCCCAGATGGAGGAGCACACTAACAAAGCCTTACAATGTTCTCGTACCTTTACCCCACTGCAGCCCCGAAGACAAGTTTCACGTCACTTTTACAGCATCTGCTACGCGAAGTCCCCAGAGTAACTTAGCAGTGTTAACTGGAGTGAACACAGAAGAAACACCTGGAGGAAGGAATAAGGACACGCTCCTACAGACATCATCGGCACCCTCACCTTGGTGAGCAGCAGCACACGTTTCTGCAGACGCCTGACCAGGGCCTCGTGCTGCTCGCGCTTCTTCTTCTCATCCAAGAGCTGGCTCTGCACCTGTAGAATTTCCTCCTGCAGCTGCTGTCGGGCCTTCTCCAGTATTCGGGCACTAGGGAAGATAACAAAGGCTAGTGAAACCCTGAGCATTGCCTCTTAATCAGAGGGACCAGAAAGACCACAGAGAAGCAGGACACGGGGGCTGCTGCCATGTCATGTCACAGCTGCACTGCTGGAATCATTAGGAGTAGCTGCAGCCTCCTTATCAGCTTTTCTCAGAAAAAGATAGGAGAAAACTATGGCAGTGTCGGCCTTCTTGTTCAGCATAAGAGATTACTGGAACCTCACATACACAAGGCAATTAATTAATTGCATATCTAAAATCAGGTTGAGAAGACAGCTCATCTTCAACAAACAACGCAAGATCCTGGTTCCTACTGCACCTTTTCCTTTTTTTTTCCCCCTCTCCTAACAAAGTAAAAGCAAAATGGAGGTTTATTATGATCTGCTTTGAGAGAAAAATAATATTCACCTTGCCACCACCTGCACTCGCTCTTTTCAGCAACCTACGTTGAAAGATAAATGTCTTCTGAGGCAGTTAGCACTCTGTTTGCAATGTGGACATGACTCTCGATTAAACCAGAAGAGCTTGGCTCCCCATCATTTTAAGACACTGCTTAGATAAATCTCAAAGAGAACCGTGCCTTAAAAGACTCTCAGCTTAAATTAAGTCCATCCTGAACTGCCAGGTCATTGAGTTGTACCAGGGAAATTTATGTTGGAATTCACTGAAATCCCCAAACAGCTATTTTGAACCTCAAAATTCCTCTCCTTGAAGAGGAACGTGCATAATAAAACACCAGGTGAATAAGGAAAACGTGCAAGGCTCCAGTTCAGTTTGGACCCATTCAGAAATGGACTGTGGAAATTGACTCTTCCTTGTTGTATTCTGATGGGAAAGTTGAACAATGCTAAAGGTGCATTTGAAAATGGATAATTTAATTAGCAAGGTACCATTACATCCTTGGTTCTGTTTTAATTGGTCAATTAAAAAGAGAACCTGTGCCCACAAACATTATCTACAGTGACGGAACGTGAGGCAACAGCAGCCTTGCACTTGATGCTTCTTCTGCATCACAACTCAGCAGACACCTCAAGTTCAATCTTGTGCATACTCAGTGGAAACACCAGCTTTGTTCTTGTTCAACAGCACGAGAATTCCACAGGCTAATAGAGATAAGTAATTGTTGACATTCTATAGAATAAATCTTTATTTAAAAGTTTCTGAGAAGTCAAAATCTAAAGACGACAAAAAGATTGAGTCCTCATTTTGTGTACATTGGATAAAACTACGTGCTGGAATTAAGATGCCAAACGTCACAAGCACATACAAGTAGCTTAGGCAGTAACACACAGAAGGTGAAAGTGCTGTGCAAGCTAATGGGTTAACATGCTGACATTCAGATAGAAAAGAAAGACATAGGATGGGTTTCCTTCTTGAAATAGCAAATGTGTGAAGTTCAGACCTCAAGGATAGCTCAGGCATTCAGACATTGCTCTCAAACAGGCTTGGAAAAGAATTGCTTAAATACATAAGGAAAGTTAAGCAAAGGGAAACAAATGGGCAATTCCCTCAGCTGTGGCATGGCACTTGGAAAGAACATCATCTTCTGTTTGTATTTCAGACCGAGCTGAATGTGATGTTAATGTAGATAGAATTTAACCACCAGAGATGTCTGAAAGCAGTGACAATACTTAAACTCTCTGAACTGAATCTGCTAACATAGGTTTCCCTAATATGAGAAGTGTGAAATCCAGCTTCCTTACAACTCTTCACACCATGCCAAAGCAAATTATTGAGATCCTTTCTTCCTCTCTTGGGACAGATTGATAATCCTTCCAGAAACTGCACCAAATATGACAAAAGCCATCTTCTATGAAAAAAAAATAAATCCAAAAGGAAAGTTCTATTCCTTAGTGACACAAAGCAGGATTTGAATGCCCAGCAGCAGCAAGTACCATTGCAGTCAGAACTGGGCACTTCTCTTCCACACTAGTGACACCTACGGCTTTCCAAAAGCATTTTGCTTGTTCAAACCAAACATTTAGAAAAACGAAAAACAAGCTCAAAGTTCTCCATTCAGTGTAAGTGTGGAGAACTGGCATTTTTTAAAACCTCTGCCAGTTCAAAGTGAACCTTTTAAGCCGAAAGGAGAAAAAGTCATTTCTGTTTATCAGCCTGTTAATGTTCCTTGCTCCACATCCTCGTGAATGAGATGCCAACATCGTTCTGTTCTGAGCTCTTGAGACTCTTCGTATTTTGCTTTTCCCTTTTGTAATCCACTTTAGTGTAATCTTAATGATAAAACTTCATTTTCCAGAGTGTTCTTTGAAATACTGAGAACAATGACAGCAGACAGTGAAAACAGAAGCTGCAAGATACATTTTAATAATTTGCCTCCAAAAAAAAAAAAAAAATTAGAAGAGCAGCTCTCAGCTTCCACCTGCCCCAGTGATACGTTAAACGTTACTCAAACTACTCCATCCTTTCAGCAACCAACTCACCACCTTACAGGCACTCAGAAAACAGCAGGAAAAGCAGACGGGATGCCACAAGCTGTCTGTTTGTCAGCCTGAAAGTAAAAGCAGGTATCTATGTGCAGCAGCAAAGGACAGCTGGAAGAGGAAAAGCGCCTGGTCACATTGCAGCTGAGGAAGAGCACAGCCCTGTGCACCTAGCAGGGACAAGCACCAGGGAGGAGGATGGCACCAAAGAGAATATGCTGGGATTGGAGCATGGATGGGAAGAACAGCAGAGGAGCACAGGTGGAAAACAACAGCAGTGCTGCTGCCTGTGTGTAATAGTCACACTGTAACAGTCACACTGCAGCTATCAGCATCGCCACACAGAACAAAATGAAAAGCTCGGCACACAAACTAATGAGGCAAAAAAAGAGGAAGGGAGATTGCTTTGTACCAATATTTGAGGCCTGACAACGTGCATCCTTCTCTACATGCCCACGTGTTTGTAGACAGCACACAAAGTCATACACTGCACTGGCAGCTGAGAACGGAGGGATGGGAGAAAAATGTTATTTTTCATTCCAGTTCTCAAGTTTCAAAAGCTAACATGAAGGCACAGATAGCAAGGTAACTCCACGTGCCTTCCTGTTGTCCACTGAGAAGCAGAACAGTGTGCCCATGGCCTCTCTGGAGGCGATGCCCTTAGCCTCCATTCCCAGCATCTCACCCTATAGGGTTTCCACGAATCAAAAAATCACTCAAAAATAAGCAGCTCCTACATCACGTTGCTGCTCTACCTACAAGTCCTGGGCCAGACTCTAATTACAATGAGGGAACAACACGAAGAATTATTTTGCTTGTGTGGAGAGGTGAAATGAGCGAGGAGCGGGCAGATGTTGGGAGCTTTATTGGTACACTGACAGCACGTTTTATCACTGAGGCAGTATTTAATTTTACTCCCCAACCAGCAGCATAAATATCAGGCTCAGAACTTCAGTTCCTTCAAAGTGAAGCTACGGAACAGAAAGGAGACCAATTTTATGTCCTGGCAGCAACTTTAATGGACTGTCAGGAGGTCGGACTGACACAGAGGACACATCAGGGCCCTCTCCCTCCCCAGCCAGGTGGGCACACACAGCACAGCATCCCTCAGCTCTGCTGCCACAGCACTGCCTCACCTTGGGAGGATCTAATCAAGCCCTCAGCGTGGGATTTACTATCATGCTAATAAACACGCTTTCTACATCCACCATCAAGATGAGAACGAAAGCAAGGCCTTAATTTAACAATGAATGAGAGACTTCTCTAGCTTGTTTTGATCTTAAGCTGAAAAATGAATCATTTGCCAAATACATACATCATTGATTTGTGGAAACTAAAATCTTTCAAGGGTGAGATAACTACAGGCATTACTGTCTTTTTTCCAAGCCTCTAAACCTCAAGTGTTCATAAGGCCAAAGCTTATGTTAATGACATTCATTTGGTAAATACAGCTTTTACTGATATTTAAAAGCCACTGAACCCACGCTGCCTGTTGGGTGCTTACTAACTTGATAACGTTGCCATCTTCTGCAGAACTGGCTACAGGAAAAAAGTGATAGCTGAATAGACAAAGTGATTTATAGCAGCTTACGTACACAGATCTATTAAGGGCTTTTGCTACATCTAAATATTCACTGCTCCTGTTATGAATCAACATTTGCATCCTGACCCAAACTTACTCTTCTGTTTGCAGTGTCTGGTAGAGGAATACATACCGAGTATCCTTAATGATGTGGAAGCAATTAAAGCAGAAGCTAGAAAACCAACAGTTCTCCACAACTATTAGCACGTCGTGCGTATCATCCATCTTCGGATCATGATTTTGCATATGGCATTTGGCAATTACAGACTGCCTGTTTTTAAAGAGCATTCACTGATAAGGATTTTCCACTCCTACTCTGAGATAAGAATAATCCCCACCTTACAAGTTTTAGAAGTTCACTGCAGAGAACTGGGAACATGCTACAACAACGCCTCACGACAACAGGCTGATACATTCAACCGAGCCAAGATTCACTGAATTGTTTGAACTGCAGTGAGCTGTGAGCAGAACAGCTCCATTCTGATTATTTCAGTGGGAGGATGTGCTCATTTGGTCCTTCCACAGGTTCTGCTTTTCACCTGTCATGGCAGGTCCAGCTTGTGCTGAAGGTCAGCCCATGAGCAACAGGCCGAGCACCAAACAACAGCAGCGTCCATTCCCTTCCCCAGCAGACCATAATCTTGCTGGGAACAGCCAGAGCAGTCCCTGGAAGACAAGGAACGCAAGGCAAAAGACTACTGGAGAAAGGAAACTGCTGGGGAGAGAGAAAAAACAAAAGCACCAAGGAAGAATTTTGAAACAACCTTTTCTCCAGCCAGGATCCAAGCATCCTCTCTGCAGCTGGCTTTATTTACATCATCTAATTCAGATTCTACATGCTTTGAAGTGCTACTGCACTTTTTTCTTTGAGAACAAAAATCACAACAACTGAAACAAAACAGGGAATGAGAAAACCCAAAGATTGAAATAATTACTAATCAAAGGAGAGGCCTGTACATGGGATG